TTGGGACCCCTTGGCATCCCCTGGGCCTCCCCCGGCTTCTCTGGGCCACCTCCACGTGGAGGCTCTTGGGATTTCTTGGGACCCCTCCGTCCAGGCTTCCCAGGGCCCCTCCGTCCAGGCTTCCCAGGGCAGCCCCCCTGGGCCACAGAACCCTTTATTCTCTTGCGCAGCTGTGCTCTAGAGCTCGGACATCTTTATTTTTGTCGTCGTTCGTTCGTTCGTTCGTCCCCCTGGGCTCTCCCCTTGGGACCCCTTGGGACCCCCTGGGCCTCCCCCCGCTTCTCTGGGCCACCTCCCCGTGGAGGCTCTTGGGACCCCTTGGGATCCCCTGGGCCTCCCCCGGCTTCTCTGGGCCAACTCCACGTGGAGGCTCTTGGGATTTCTTGGGACCAGCGTAATTGACGAGGGATCCTGGCCCTGGAGGCGCGAACCCAATGAATTTACCAGGGATCGTGGCTTTGGGAGCGTGGACGCTGCGTAATTCACGAGGGAGCGCGGCCCTGGAAGCGCGGATGCAGTGTAGTTTAGTAGGGATCGTGGCCCGGGAAGAGCGGACGCAGCGTAATTGACGAGGGATCGTTGCCTTCGGAAGGCGGGCGCAGGGTAATGTACAATGGATCGTGGCCCGCGGAGCACGGACGCAGTGTAATTTACGAGTGATCATGCCCCTGGGTCAGGAACGCCTCGTGGCACGTCCCCTGATGTGTTCCTTGGCACATCCCCTGGCGCGTCGCCTGGCACGTTCCCTGGCACGTTCCGTGGGCACGTCGCGCGGCGCGTCCCCAGGCACGTCCCGTGGCACGTCCATTGGCACGTTCCGTAGCGCGTCCCCTTGGTACGTCCCGTTGTGTGTCCCCACGGCACGTCCCGTGGCGCGCCCCTTGGGACGTTCCGCGGCGCGTCCCCCTGGCATGTCCCCCTGGCATCGCCCAGTTGCATATGCGATTGAGATCCTTAGAAATGGTTCCATGCCTCGCAGTTCTCAATCCATTTCCGAGTTCGTGGGTCGATCATGTTTCACGGAATGGGCGTCGGCCCAGGGTTCTCTTTTAGATGTTTACCCTTGGTTTCGACTTGATGAGGTTCGGCGGAATTATTTGCGATAAGTATCGAGGTGCAGTTTTATTTTTGCTTGAAGAATGCGTTTCGCGCGCGCCCGCTCGAGGAAAATGTGCCCCCAATTTCGGATCCTCGATCAACAGCAGGGTCCGCAGACACACGCTTTCCTCTGTAAAAGACGGGGTGCGGAGCGTTTTCCGCATAACCCACGATAAAACACGAGGTCAGGAGGCTTAGCGTGCCCGGACACCCACGGGGGGTATTTGATATGTGGTAGCCCCCACCGTGGGGCCCACAAGAGCCAAGCACATCGACTCCAGATGTGTAATAACTTGACACAGTTTCTTTGGCTGGTGATTTTCCAGATTTCCCTTTGGCGTGCCTAACATGATGGTCCCTCGCTGGAACCACGTGTTTTCACGTGTCCAGGCCACGCAGAGAGGTACCTAACATGGTGGCCCCGAGCTGTAACCACGTGTTTTTGTCACATGTCCAGGCCACCCAGAGGGGTATCTGACATGGTGGTCCCGAGCTGGAACAGTGTGTGTTTCACGAGTCCAGGCCGCAGGGGGTATATCTAACATGGGGATATCTACCGAGCTGGAGCCACGTGTTTTTACATGTCCAGATTTTCAGATGTCCAGGCCACCCAGGCGAATATCTAACCTGGTGGCCCCGAGCTTGAGCCACGTGTTTTTGCGTCTGCAGGCTACCAGGTGGGGTATCTGACATGGTCGCCCCGAGCTGGAACCATGTGTTTTTACATGTCAAGGTCGCCCGGAAGGGGTATCTGACATGGTTCGCCCGAGCTTGAACCACGTGTTTTTACATGTGCGGGCCACCCAGGGGGGAGTATCAAACATGTGGTCGTCTGGGACCCCCCAGAGAGGGGGGCCCACAAGAGCCAGACAAAATCAATACACCGACACCAGATGAGTAATAACTTGACGCAGTGTCTTCGGCGTTTTTTTCCAGATGTCCTTTTGGTGTATCCAACATGGTGATCCCGAGCTTGAGCCACGTGTTTTCACGTGTCCAGGCCACCGAAAAGGCGTATCTAACAGTGTGGCCAAGGCCAACCAGAGGGGTATCTAACATGGTGGTCCCGAGCTGGAACCACGTGTTCTCACGTGTCCAGGCCACCCATGGGGATATCTAACATGGTGGGCCCGAGCTGGAACCTTGTGTTTTCACTTGTCCAGGCCATCTATCTAACACTGTGGTCCCGAGCTGGAACTACGTGTTTGTACGTGTCCAGGCCATCCTGGGAGGTATCTGGCACAATTGCCCCGTGTTGGATTCCTGTGTTTGCACGGTCGCATGTTAGATATCCGTCCTTGGGTGGCCTGGACACGTGAACACACGTGAGTTCTTAACGCCCCAGAGCGGGCCAACGTGAAAACACAGGTCCGTAACGCACCAGAAGGGGGACGGCGTGTGTCCCTCCCGCTCGGCGCGTTCCTTGGCTTGTCCTCTGTCGCGTTCCCTGGCTTGTCCCCTGGCGCTTTCCCTGCCCGTTCTGTGGCGGGTCCCTTGCCAGGTTCCTTGGCGCATCCCCTAGTGCGCCCCTGGCACATTCTGTGGCGCGTTCATGCGCCCTGCACCCCGTGTTGTCTCGTCCCGCTTCGGAACTGAATCGGATCTTGAGCTCCAGCTGATTGAGTGTCCCTCACGTTTCGAATGCAACCAGTTCTGGGCCAGTTATGCGGTCAGGCATCTCGAACTTAAGATCCAGATCAGTTCGGTCAGGATTCGGATGCCAGGGGCGACTCGATCCATACCATTATATACTATAGAGCACAACGCAAGTCATTGAGGCATGACAAATTTAATTTCAGCACGGCACTGCGCAGCACAGTCCTTGTCATGGTACATCACGATTGTTTTTTTCAGCATTGCAATTACCTGTCGCCCAATCAGGTGCCTTGAAAACGTAGCCACGCTTCGTGTTTCTAAATTCCTTTTCGGGTTCGTGGCTCGATCATGCTTAGGAAGAGGAATGGAGGATGATGATGAGGAGGAGGGACATGGAAGGATGAGGATGATGCTTCTCGATTGCTTTTTGTGGCATTCTTGGGGCCAAGCTGTGCCGTGGACAAGGCATTTCTGTTGGAGGCTTCTTGGGGGGAGGCCTCTCGGCGTCCCCTTGGCAGTATTTTGGGGGCCTCTCAAATTGGGGCCTCTTGGGGGAGTTTTTTGCGCCTCTGGGGGCCTTCTGCGGGCCTCGCGGTCTCGGGGGCCATCTTCCGGGAGAGGGGTCGACATGTCAGTTCGGATTGCCTCTTTTTGGGCCCTCTTGGGAGCCTCTGGCGCCCTGTTGTGAGGCCTCTTGGGCCGTCTTGGGGCCCTTTTGGGCTGTTTAGGGGCCGTCCTTGGAGCCTCTGGGTTTGACTTGGGGCGATCTTGGGAGCCTCTTGGGCCGTCCTGGGCGGTCGGAATCCCGAAAAAGACGCTGACGCCAAAATCCTTTCAAATAAACAGCGATAATCAAAAGTATTTGGCCTCTTGGGAGCTCTCTTGGGCCTGTCCGGGACCATCTTGGGGCCATCTTGAGGCCTCTTGGGATCGTTCTCGAGCCATCTTGAGGCCAGCCACCTATTGATCCCGATTCTTGGCCCCTCCCAGAGCTCGCCTGGGGTCCCTTGGGGCACTCGTGGGCCGAGCTTGAGGGCCCCGAAGGCAGGCCCCTGGGAGTTCTGACATCCGTGACGCCAGCCGCCCGGGAGTTGCCCGGGAGTTGGCCGGTGTCCGCCTGGGGTATTTGTGGTTAGGGGAGAGATTTTTGCGCGCCTCTGGCCTGGTGGACCGGCGAATTTAGATGATGTTGGCCTCTGGCTCCCAGGGCTTCCAAGACGGCCCAAGAGGTCCCCGAGGGAGCCCCAGGATGGAACTTTGGCTTAGCGTGTCGCGCTGCCAGTTCTGGCCGAACGCGCTGCGGCGCGACACGCTATTCACGATCCACTCCTCAAGCGTCCAAGTTCCAAGCCTTTCCCAGCCTCCCACCTCGCGGAGCGGAGCGACACGCTATCCGCTTGCATGCCGCGGCTGCCGCCGCGACGCGCTGAGCAAAGCTTCCGCCGTCCATTCTGTTCGCGTCAGCAGGGCTCTGTACTGGAGCGGCAGTCATGGCCAATACGGTGTCACACAGCCCCGTCACACAGCCCCCGCCGAGTGGGTTCCGAGGGTTCCCCCTGAGCGGGAGCTCCCGAGGGCTTCCACCGAGGGCTCTTGCCGGCTCGAAGAGGGGCAAGGGCGCCCGCCGAGGGCTCCCAAATGCCCCTGCGGGCTCGAAGCGGGGGGAACTTGCACCCCTCCAAGTGTACGCATGCTCGGGCTCTTGCACGGAGAGGACGACGACGAGGAGGGGGAGCATTTGGGCGCCATTCTGGTACTATCTCGCGGGGTCTCCTCGGGCCTTTCGGCTCCTTTCGGGGCCTGAATGCGGGGCCTGGGGTCAGGGAGGTCCGAGATCGTCAGAGAGGCGGACGCCGACGCCGACGCCGACGCCGCCGCCGCCGCCGCCGCCGCCGACGACGACGACGACGACGACTGACGACGACGATGACGACGACGACGACGACGACGGCGGACGTTGGAAATGAAGGGGGTCGGAGTTTTTGAACACAGCAGTGCAAGATAATAGTGAATCCCAGACGCGCTCCCGCGCCCTAGAGACAAGTCATGCGAGCCGCTCTCGAGAGCGCCCAGAACTGGGGCCCCGTGCCCTTCAAATCGTTCACATTCGATACTGAAGACGTTGAGGCAAGGACCGAACTCAGACTCAGACCGAACTCGGACCCGACCGAATTCGGACCCGAGCGCCGCGCTCCAGTGGGAACCTGGGGTCCGAGTTCTGCCGGGTCCGAGCCCAGTCTGGGCCGAGTTCAGCCCTTTCCCTGAGCGGCCTGAGGGTATTCCGCGTGCCTGCGGCACCGTGGCGGATTGGCACTGCGATGGGGTCACGCTGCGCTTCCTCAGATACGCGGCCCTCAAAGACCGGTGCTCACTGGTTGGCAAGTTCCACGCCAAGAAGGGGGGCATCTCCGCGGGCTCCTCGGCCGAGCGGCACCAGGAGGAGGCCACCCGCGCGATGACCGGCATGCTGGACGAGTTCGCTTCTCAGGACCCCGAAAGCGGGGACATGGCCAAACCAGGACATCGGCGCGCCCGAGAAAGCTGCAGCCGTGGTTTGCCGCATTCTTCGTTTTCAAATGGATTTTGCAATGTCCTGGTTGGCAATGCCCTGGTCTAGGGGGACCTGAGCCTCAAAGTACGCGCGCCTTGCGGCGCCTGGGGAGGCCGCGTCGTGCGGCCTGATCTGGCGCAGCGGGGCAGGGGGCGCGGAGGGCGGCTGCGCCAGCGGGGGCGGGGGCGCTGGCGGAAAGCGCAAGCGGGACAGCGTTGAGGAGGGCGCAGAGAAGCGCAGTCGTGTCTCGACAGCCCGCCTGGGGGCGTAGCTCGTCTGGAGAGTTCTCCTCGGCGAGTGGCCGAGGCGCGGTCGCCCCAGGCCGCCCAACTGGCCGAGCACAGTGGGGTCGGAGGATCGCGCCGCATCGCCGCTGCATCGACGATGTGGCGCGACCTGGGGCCCGGGTTCTGTCCTCCCCGACGTCGATCCTCCATCCCCATCTGCTCTGACCCCATGTGGGGTGCCCTCACCTAGGCCCTTGTGCACAGTCCGGCGCGCTCGCTGAGAGAGCCGCTCTTCGTTGCCAATCCGCTGCACGTTTGGGGGGACAGCAGTTGCCGACCGTCGGGGAGCGCGGGGGCCGCTCAGTCAAATCCAGTCTCATCCTCTCCTTCGATATTCGGACCCCTCTCCTCCACGTCCTTCCCCTCCCGCCTCCCGCGATTTCTCCCTTCGGACTTCGTTATCCTCCCTCCCTCTGCCCCTACCCGCCAGCGCGCCGCATGATTATGCACGATCGAGGGCCGCTCGCGCCAAGCGCCCGAGATCGCTCGACATGAGAGCTTTCAGCCCGAGCCGGAGCTTGGAGCGCAGACCTGGCAGCCGCAGCAGACACCACGGGGCGGCCAGACGCTGTCGCCTGCCGCGCGGGGGGAACTTGCGGACAGCCTCCCGTTCCTCCATTGTTCTCTCCGACCTCCACTGCCCTCCTCGGGAGGGGCTGGGTGGGGGGGGAGGGGGAGTAAGGCTCAGAAATGGCTCATTCCCACACGGCGCTGGCGCGAATCGTGACGTGACCAGAAGGGTACAATGGTCCCGCTTAAACCACTGCCGATAGCACTGAATACTGACCTCCTCGATCTCCTGACTGTTGTAGTGCTCGTTATCTCTATCTCGTTTGGAATCTCCTCTAACGATGTGATGGCAGTGGCAGTGGGGGAGCGCGTCGCTGGACACGCGATGACACGGCACAGGAACCCGTTTTCTCAGCGGGCCAGTTCTCTGTGCTGCGGTTCAGACCGCAAGTCAGTTGCCTGGCAGCCTCGAGCTGCTATACAAAGGCTTGAGCCAGAATGGTGTCGGCACGGACCATTATGTTGAAACATGATAGGCCTCTTCGGGCCTTCTTGGGATAGACCTCGTCGGGCCTTTTCTTGGAAAAGAGCAGAGAGACGATTATCTCGGCTAGGCTGCAACTGCGGAGGCCAAAAAAGGGGAACTGGCGACGCCAGGGAACGCGGACTTACATGAGTTATGGGAAGTATGTACTGGGCTTCTTCGGAGCCATGTCTTGAAATGTCTAACACACTGGGCCTCTGTGGGCCATCTGTCGTAAGTAGGCACAGGGAGGTAGACTCTGGGCTGTGAGTTGCATGCCCAAAAGTTAAAGTTCGATGTTACGGCATCGAAGCCTGGCCTTACCTTCTGAGTTCACAGAAAGCACGGAACGTGTGGTAGGCTTCACCCGGCCCCAGAGGGCCTCATGTCCGGCAGGTCCAGCCTGCTGGGACTCGTCGTCGCGTGAGAAGTACACCAGGGCTTTCAGGGCAATGTCGGGATCCAGCGGTGTGCCGTGGTCTAGCTTGTCGATGCCCTCGGACTTGCGTTTGCGTGTTGACCGATGCAGAGGATGGTCCACTAACCGCCAGCGCTGCCCACTTCTGAAGAACTCCAGCAGGGCCTTGGCAGCGCGGTCCTTCGTAAGCCCGGCGGCCAGCATCGCGTCGCTGTGAACCCAGCGAATTTGGAGCCCCGTTTGCTGCCTTTGCTGCCAGATGCCCAGGCACTCGATACTGGTCCTCTTGTCTCGAAGACCTAGTCCAGCACACTCGCTCTTCTCGATGGCGTCGTGCCCAGACTTCCCGTCTGTGACCAGGACTCCAGGGCAGGTTGAGATGGCGTCGTTCACGGCCTGCTTGTTGGTGTAGTCCACGGAGCCGCACTCTAGCTCGTAGATGAAAAGTCGCACGTAGCTGATCTCGTCGAGCGTCTCCGTCATCATCTGCACCTCGGCACTCGCACTGTTTCTGGCAACGCGTGGCAACTTGCATGATCTCCAGGAAATCGGCGCCACTGTCTCGGTATATCCATCTAGAAACGATAGCGGTGCCAGCACGATCATCTCGCCTCCTTGGGATTCTCCTGTGATCCGGGCTGCCCATGCGGCGTCGCCCCAGCCGACAACTGCCAGCTTCTCGATTGCAGTTATGACCATGGTGACGTCAGCGGTGTCGTTCGTGGTGCGGATGATCTGGTTGATCTTCTGCATCGTGGAGACCGTCGCGGTTGGAATCTCGGCTTGTATTAGTGACACTTCGGAGCTGAGCCAGGGAGCTGACTGCTGCGCCCTCCAGCCTAATGTGCCCAGACGCCCGCTTTCTCCAAATCGTTCTCGATCGGAAACTCCATCTGTAGGCTTCCTGCCGCGCTTGACAGGAATCGGCGCCACGTTCATGCTGTAGGTGTCTTGGGCGAGGCTGCACGTGAAATCGTCGTTCTGTCGGATGCTGACTCCACATTGAACGAAGGCCTTGCTCTCCCAGGGCGTCCATTCGAAAGCTTGTTGAATCTCCTTCCGGTCCTGCAGGAAGAACTTGTTAGTGTGGTCTTCGGCGATCATCATGTCGTCTACGTGTATAATGACCATGCCGATCAGCTTGCCGTCGTCGTCCCTGATGACCCAGACGCAGGGCTCGCACTGGATGGCCTCAAGCTTGAGCTCGTTGAGCGTCTCTTTGACATGTAGCCAGCTCTTCCGAGGTGCGTGCACGAACCCGTACATCGGCTTGAAACTGCAGTGCCTCGTCCTCCTTCACGCCGAAGGCTTGGCGGACATCCTTGGGCGGGTCGGCGTGGATCTTCCGCTTCTCCTCGTCGGTCTCGCCTTGAAGAAATGCTGTCACTGCGTCGGCCTTTTCCAATAGCCACTTGTGCTGGGCGGCCATAGCTAGTAGAAGTTGTTGACCACGTCGAGACGCAACAGGTGATTCTGTACGTAGATGTAGTAGGTCAGGATCGCTGAAATCAAGTACCACAAGTCGAGCTTTGCCTCGTATAACATTACCATGTTCGTCCTTCTTCCAGGTGGGCACGAAACGACAGCGTAGAAGACGCGCTGGATCTATGCTTTTGCGGCTGAGGATCCTTGCGGCCATGGTGCTGAGAACGGAGGTGCCCTCCTTCTGCTGGGCTTCAAGTAGCATCTGCTTCTCTTCTGGCGTTGCCTTCTTGCATGAGACCTCCACCCGGCCCTTGCGAGCCTGCGAAGCCAAGAAGTTGCTCGGGTCCTCGAAGTAGTTCATGAATTCGTGCTCGCTGTTAACTGGGATCTCCAACGCGATCAGCTCGTCCTCCTCCTTGGTCTCGTCGTACTGCTGGATGCTGCAGGCGTAACCGCTGTAGAAGTTACCGTCATGCAAGTAGTAGGCGGAGTCCTCCTGAAGTGCTGATCCTGAACGTTCTGACGGGAGGTGTCATCTCGTCGGTGTTTAAGGTCCGTTCGTGAGGTAGTTCTGATCGAGCTTCTTCGGATTCAGGGTCTGCCGCCAGTCCTCCAGCTTCTGAGCCGTCCGGGAAGGGCTTCTGCGAGGCATGATCCTCCATGTCATCGTCCTCCGGGTCGATCTGAACAGCTTCCTCTTCCGCTTCGGCTGGGACTTCAGCTTCTTCTGCACGTGGTCATTCAGCAGGTGATTCGATTCCAGGTGGTGGTCGAGTGGTACTTCTTGTATGAGTGGCTCCTGCGGCTCTTCCAGCGTCCACGGATTCTGCTTCCGTCGCAACCGTCTCGTAGGTCCTGCGGTGCTGGTGGTGGTGGTGGCGCTGGTCGTGAAGCTGATGAGGGTGCTGCTCCTCCTCCGCCTCCAGGTGCGCAGCTCTGAGATGGTAGAGGTCGGTCGTCGTCTTCATTCACGGCCCAGGGTCCACTTGGGTTGTGCTCAAAGGTTCGAGCGCTTGTAGATTCCCCGTCGTCGTAGGCGAGGTCGTCACTGGTGGTTGGTGGCTCGTTGGTGAGGGCGATCACTTCGTTGGTGTCGAACTGCTTCTGTACCTCCCCGAACGTCTAGGTGCCTGGCTGCTCGCTCCGAGATCGGAGCGCGTCCGTAGCTTCTTCAGAAGGCGTAGCTGGTCGTAGCTTTTCGGGTGCAACTCGGTGGAGCCGCCCTGCCAGGACGATGTTCACGACTGCGCCAGGTAGACCAGGTCGGTGTCCAGAGCTAGCGGGTTCGTGACATAATACTCGCCCAGGTCCGCACTGGCGTCCTCGCCCGGGCCTTGATCGCGGTTGTCCATTCTTTTTCCAGGCTCCAGGTGGGAGCCCCCGGTAGACGACGACAGTCGTCGCCTCTGCCCTTCCTGGCTCTGTCGGAGTTCTCGGTCTGGATGTGGGCCAGTCGGGATTGTCGGCGTATTCGAGCATCTCTGGCGAACGTGCTGTCATGTAGCTCGGCGCTGATGAGCGGTCGGTTGTTCGGCTCGTCATCAAGATTAGCCGTTGTCCCAGTAGGCGTCCGTCTGGCGTAGAGCTGAAGCGGGCTGAAACCGTCGATCCTCGCGAGGTCGTTGCGGGCTGCCGTCTGGAGGCCGAACATCTCGCTGGTGGACGCGTCGGTAGAGATCATCTCGTCGAAGGCGTCGATGGCTTCCTGGAAGGCTTCGATGGCGCGCTCGATCTTCCCGATCTGCCAGCGTGCGTCAGCAGCGCACGGGAGGCAGTGGATGCCCTGGCTCTCGACCCACTCCCTGAACTCGTCGGAGACTGCGCTGCCAGCTGGGTCGTAGCGCATTGCCGTCAGGCGCCCCATCCCATGGGAACCGTTTGGAGGCGAAAATGCGTCGTGGGTCTCCAGCTCGCACTTGACGCGGTTATTCTGGTATCTTCTTCTCGTCGAACAAACGCACGTAGAGAATGTCGGAACCCGCGCCCAGAACCGCGAGCACCATCGCGTTGGTGTTTGTGCTGCGACGAATCCAAGAGAAGGCGTCAAATAGAACTTGGTGGCCCGTCTGCAGAATTCTGATGATGCTGGTGGCCGCTTCGTCGGAGGTCGGTGAGCATCGCAGATGTCGCACTTGAAGTTGCGAGCGATTCGTAGCACCTCAGGTCGGGCACCTCGATCTCGAAGATAGCGAGTGAGATTCGCGCGTGGAACATGTCCCAGATTGGTGTGGGCCAGTCCCACGTAGCTCTCCAACCTCTTGATCGCGTCCTTCGTTAGGCCGAGGGAGTCCTTCCCGACCTTAGGTGGCAGCAGCTCCTCTGCCGACTCTGCGGTCGGCTCCGCGGGGGGCTGCTTTGTGGCCGCCACGCAGTGGCAGTTCAAGACCTCCTCTTCGAAGTAGCTCTGGTTAGCTTTGCGCGCAAGCGCCCTCCGGATTCTTCAGCAGAGCACTTTCGCATATCTTCCTGAGGCTTCGGTTCGGCTGCTTCCTTCATTTTCTTCATGATAGAGTCCTCCGCGACTTCGAAGTGGTTGGGGGACTGCCCAGATGTGCTTGTTGTTGGCGAGGAACTTCCAGC